TATATATATATTTTTATATATATTATATATAAACTATTCATCTATCTGTCTGTCCACCACAGCCAGGTTACCTGGCACTGCCGCACTACCTCGGAGCTGCCCTCAGTTTCATGTGCATCTGCTTCTACACTGTCCTGCTCACTTCGCTGACCGCAAAGTGTGTGCTGACCGGATATGAGAAGATTCTCTACCCGTTCCGAGTCACCTCCACTGTGGTTCAAACCATTGTCACCATCTGCTGTATCCTTTCATAAATCTTGAAGATAAAGTAATTATTTGTATTTTACACAATTCTTCCTGTTGAAGGCAGTTAGGATGAAAGGCGTTCAGTGACTTGTGAACAGACTTCAGCAGCGACGCCTGAGTTACACTCTCCAGCTGTTCTATCGCACTAGTACATTCCCTTTGTGCCCTATTTGGATCCAATCTGCTGCTCTTGTTTACAATGTGGGACAGGCCACAACAATCTCTATTACAGAAGGAGATAAGAATCAATGGAATTTTAAGCTACATCAATCTTTCATCATTGTGTTCCTGTAACACTCAGCTTCCTATTACTTACATCTAGACTGCACAGTGAAACAACATGAGTGCTCCAAACTGGAGCAGGTTAGAGTTGAATGTCAAGCTTAACAGCACCCTGTCATTAGTAGGTGATATATCTCAAAATTTGGCGATTGAACCTCTAGGCCCCCGGTTTGAAGTGGCTCAAGACAAAATGTAATGCATTATCTAAACACTAGCCCAGGTGTGCAAGAACATACTGCATTACAGGATAATAACATGCTTCCTTGTACTTTGTATGAAGTATTTAGGCTGTTCCTCAATGCTCCTGAACAGATCTCCACTTGGTTCAGAAGCAATTTATAAACGACAGGTTCTTACAAGTGACGAACCACAACTAACTGTTTCATACATCCTTGACCTGAAACCCATCAGATACTGTTTTGTTTGCCCAGAATGAGTACTATTACGTTCACTTGTCGGCTATATTTGAGTGGATGCTCAGCGCCAACCTGGAGCTGTTTGAGCTCAGCTTCGTCGTGGAGTTTTGGTTCTTCTCGTCCTTCATGCTCTCAAATCTGTTGAGCAGACGAGAGGAAGAAAAGCCTTTGATGATGACGATGTCGACGTCCTGATATGAGGCTGCCAGGGTCCAGGTGAAGCACATGAGCAGTGATGATGGACTGAGTGAGACATCTGGAAAGACACCTGTGGCTGGAGGACCAATAATTTGTTTCCCATTATTCTGCTGGAATGGATTTAAAGCCATTTATGGATTATGACCACTTTCATTCTACCCTTTTGCCTAACATTTCCTTATTCCAAACAGTAGTACTTATTTATTGAAACAAGCTTGTACAGCAAATGATCAAACCATACCAGTTGTATTACGCTTTTGTGAAAGCCATGTCGATGCTCTGCCAACAGAACAATTAACCTGATGTGTCTTCCTCCCTGTTTGTTATTCATTTCTTTGTTACGATTTATCAGATTTTAATATAAACAATTATTTCATTAGGTACACTAAATATGACAAAGTCATGAATATCTCACTGTTTGCTTCACATTAAAGTTCTTTAGGCACATGCGTAGAGCTTTGGCACTTTAAATCATGACCACTGTAAACAGAACTTGTTATGCCGTTGCGGTGCACAAAATCAGATATGTTCCCTATGACGTCAAATGATCTGGTTTGGCTGGATGACTGAGTGAAGTGAATTCACAGACAGACATAACAAAAACAATGAAGTGTCTCCATTGTCTTCCATTACATATTTTTAGGTGTGGTCTGTTTTATGTGCGAGTCAGAGAACAAACTCGAGTGAGGATCTCTGAAATCAATTCACCTTTAAAGTAACAACGGACATGAAAATTTACTTTGTTTCTCAAACTAATGAATACAATATTTCATCCCAAACAGACGGTTGCTGGATGTAGCTAGCGGGATAAAGCCGTATTTTTCCACATTTCAGTGCTACACTTCGGACACTGTGAAACCATAAACATCCACAAAATGAGACAATGTCGATCTGATTTTAATGCAAAGCACTTAACCTTTACTTGAAAGAAGGTAATATACATCCTGGAATTACAGATAAAGATACATTATGAGCAAAATCATTTCACAATGAATATCATCTTTCCTTTGCATCAACCAAGAGAGGAGTGCGACATTATCTACAGTTTTTGTTAGGAAGAAAATAGTGAAAAGCACACCTAATTCTGTCAGCATCTTTACTTTATGGTACACTGTAGAAAATGTCATCTATATGCAGAAGTCCACATTATTGACGGTAATAACAAAAAAAGAGAAAAAAAAACAATTTGAAAAAACAACAACACAAGTTTCATTGTTGTCTTTCAACGAAGTAAGTCATCTGCAATGCATACATTATAAATAAATGTAAGGGGAAGAAAAAAAGTTCAAAAACTACTAAAAGCAATATTCCACAATTCCAGCATGGCTGAAACAATAAGTGGCCTTAAATCCAAACCCTATACTTTGGAGTGTGACTACAGCTTTTACAAGCCTTTAAGATACTGTAGATTATTCAAGCTGCTGTGTCTAAAAAGCCTGACTCATGCTTAACACTTCTGGATAAATCAAGTTAAAATTTCCCTTAAAACTTGTTCTGTGAAGGGATAAGTTGCCTACCGCCTTTACCTGCGAGGCGAGAAACAGTTTTTGTAAGGAGTGAGAAGATCAGCATGAGAAAAACACAAGGCTGTATAGTCAAGAAAGTTGTGTTTTTTTTGCGACTTCAAGCCATTTAGTACTGAAAAAAAAAGCTAGGGGAGGTCACTGGTATCAATCACAGAACTCTTCAACTCTAAAAAAGGAAATCATTTGTGTTCTCTAGTTAATGTGTGACATTTAGAGAACAAATACTCCTTTCGGGCCTCCTTCCTATTTATAACCATCACCCCACTGGTTTATCACGTTGGGGGAAGCTCCAACTGTACACACTTTAAACAATTCTCTTTTCAATAAAAAGGAAAAGACAATACAGTAGTTGACAACTCAAAAAATAAAAAAAATTTTGTGATGATGCGGTTTGGTAATTGTTTAAATCTACAGCAAGTTGAAATTGGGGTTGGAGGAGTGTTTCAAACGGAATACATGTTCTTGGTGGTGGATCCGCTCTTGCTGGATGTGTCGTCGTGTGACTGGTAGCCGATCAGGGCTTTGAGGGGGATGCTCAAGCGCTCTTTATAATTTTGCCTGTGGAAAGACAAGAAGAAGAGTGCTGTGTGAAGACTAATGCACACCAAGTGTCTCCATCTAGTGATCAGCTACAGTACTTTCCATCACTTGTGCTTTACTCCCTACAGACAAGGTGACTTACCCTATCGTCATGATGGCGTCTCTGTTTTGGCATTGGCTAGTCCAGATGGCTATTTTGTCACCTTTTGGTCTGACGTTGACCACAGCTCCACACACATCTTCACTTGCCACATCAAACGACTCACCGACTAAACACAAGAGCTGCAAAATACACGACACGCAACATGAATCATACTGTTGTTTTTTTTTTCATAAATTCCAACCGCTCAGAAGATAAAGGTTCATCAGGTCGTCTAACCGTCTCCATCCAGTAGCGGTCAAGATCATTGTGTCTCTGTTGCTTATTGAGAGTCATCAGCCATCGACCCCCGAGCTTGTTCCTGTCGTCCTCCCACATCGGCTTGATCCCATCCTGACATACAAAGTCAAAGGTTCAATACTTTAGTGAGCCATCTCTGCTGCTCAAACAACTCAACATTTGTACATGCTGCAAACATCCCACAGGTTGAAAAGGGAAACTGTATTTAAAAAAATAAATAAAAAAAAAGGCCTTACCTTAAATAAACAATAATCGCAGCCAAAGCCAAGTTTGCTTGGTTGCTGTATGTGGTTGTATAATCTGTAAGAAACATAGAATAGTGTTAAAAGCATTCCAACATGTTGACTGAAGTGATCTGCCATCATTCAGATTGATGGTACAGTGAAGAACTCATTTAACACTGAAGAGTGGATACATTTCTACACAAGCACCTCAAACTAGAAATGCTCTGAAGATTTACATGTCGTATGCGAGATGGTTTCAGTTGTTTTCCCGTAAGACACTCTTACATTTTCTATCTTAGCCAGTATTTGTAAATACTACAGATGCACATACAACGAGTGAGGTGCAGACAACAGAGGAACATGTAAACATAAAGAGTTGATGCACACTCGAGCTGCCTTCATCTGTGCTAGAAATAATTTAATGATGGATAATTTATAAAAATTCAAGAAATCCCTTCATGTCTTCATGCCCATCACTACGCAAAGACGACACCTATTTTCAAAAACACCATTCTTATGAAACTCTTCACTTACACACCTCTAAGTCACAAAATCATAATCACATTACAGGATTAGTAGAAAAAAACACTTACGCCCAAAAGTCTTCCACTGTGTCGAATTTGGAAATGAGACGCAGGTTCTCTGTCCAGCTTTTGCTCTTGTCATTTTTAAAATACCACAGGGCCCATCTGAGAGAGGAAAAGACCAGAATCAAAACACACTCGGTATTTATAGGACTGTGGCAAAATGACTCCAGTACAATGGCAGAAAATCACAATAATTATTCTCATACAGAGGAACAGAGAAAGCCGGCCATCATCAGCACTACAAGTGCAGCCTTTGTTTGTGACGGGCGCTGTTATTCTTTCATCTATTCCCAGGAGGGAAGGGGCTAGCAGGGGAGGGATGAGGGCAAAGAGAACACACTACCACATGTACGACTACAAAACAGCCATCAACCCCACCCACGTGTCACAAACATAGAGACTACACTTAAAGACAAACCACAGCTTGATACTGTACTCATGCCATGTAGCAACTCCACCGACACACATTGTTACACAACACAGGTGTATCATTAGTGGAAACAGAGACGAGACGAGACAGCACACAGGCGTGTGAACCCAGCAGTGTTTACCCGCCTAGTCGCGGCATGTAAAAAAAACATGGTAGGTCAAGTCACTGATGGATTTATCAAGGAATCATAATCCATTCAGCCCGTTTCCTTCGGCGTGGGTGGCAGATGGTTTTGCCAAACACTAGTGTAGCTATTAGGGGCGGTATGACTTAAATTTCACAGTATTTTTGGGCGCTAAATCAAACCTGTACTGCATTATCAATACAATTTACAGGCAAGCCGAGGTCGAGGCAACATGAAGGAAAACAAATTTCAGTTGTTTTTAAAGAAAACTAAAACTGAACTAACATGGCATATTTTGAATTTGATGACAAAAGAAGAAAAGTTAAGTTGAATGGTTGCTGTGAGAAATAAAAACAATGCGTCAGTTGTCCTCGAGCAGGATGGACCGATCGGGTAGCGACAGCCGCTTCTCTCTCGGCTTCTTCTTCTTCTTTAGTGTTTGTTAGCGGTTAAAACGACACGTTAGATGTAGATTACCACCAACAAGTGGACCGGAGTCGCAGTTTATGTTTTACGTTTGTGTAAAAATAAAATACAAATCGGCTGAAAGATTGCTGTTGGATTTTTTAAAAACTTCTAAATGTTGACATCAGTATTTTCCTTAAAATTCTGTATCAGTCAGTCTTTACGTGTCAGAGTAACTGTAGGTCAGCCTTTAAAACACCAGAGGATGTTGCCATTTCCTCTAAAAAAACAGCCATTTCATCCATTCTCTATCTCTAAAGAAACGAACAGCCATGTCTGGAAATAAAATCACCGGAGCATCAGCATTACGGATATTGGTGGTTTGCTGTTGTTAGCCCATTTAATAGAATGCACATTAAAGCAGAACATTTTCCACAGCATAGTGCAGGTTTTATGAAACCGAATGTGCTTATCCAACCTTCCTGCAACGGTTGGTTTCCCTTTATTTTAGTACCATATGAAAATGTTGCATGACTTGAAACTTGAAAGCGATCATCATGTCTAGTTGTGTTACAGCTCAGCAATAGAGAAGTGCAGCCGGTTCAAAGCCATCTGTAGATTCAATTTCACAACACTTGTCAAAAATAAAAGCAGATGTGACATTAATATTGCTGCATTGTCTTAAGTTTCAAGTCTCTGCAAGTTGATGATTATTAAAATGACTGGTATGACACTGCAGTGATGGTTTGAGTTCACCGAGTTGTTTTTACTTTTAACAAGTAAGGCTACTTTATATTCTTGCTTTGAGGTAAGAAAATGTTTTTACAATCTTTCACCCGATTTATCCGTCTAGCTGCAGAGTACAAACAGCAACATGACAAGTTACAACAACGTGCAGTCAGTTGACAGTTTATTAGGTACACCTAGCCAAAACTAATGCAGTCTAATACAACAGTCTTAAAATAAATCCGTCCTTCATGATGGTTACAATGTTTTTGTTGAAGATGTTATGAGAGATGTTGAGTCACCTTTATCATGTCGTTTGTGAAGCTGTTGAATTGTATTTCTATCATTTTGTCTAGACCATCAATCAGGGTAGGCAACGTAACAGCAACATCTCTGTATAACGCAGGACTGTATTAGAAAGCACTAGTTTTAGATGGGTGTACTTGAAACTGAGCGTATACTTTTAAGTAATATTTCACAACACACCAGTCTTACAAAAATTCTAATCAATTCAACAAGCCTGGGCTTCCTCATAGTGAAGACCCGTTGTGAGGAAAGATAAGAAGCAACGACATGCAGCCTTCTTACCGAGACGTCCACCATTAAGGGTGTTACAGTGAAAGCATCCGAATACAATTATCCCGCCACAGTATGTTTAAATAAAATCTGTGCGCCTAAAACCGGAACGGCTAAAGCGGCAGATGTGAACAATTTTGACCTCCGAAGCGGAACAAGCAGAATGGCCTAGAAGTGACTTACTCAGTCAACTATTCAGCATTTCCTAACCCGACTGTACAATGCTCCTGAATAGGTCGTCACCACCGCAGAACTATGATAACATTTCTAAAAGGACAATAGTGAACTACAATTACAACACTAACATGCAGAGTAGGAAGCAGAATCCTTCATCCTCTGCTTTTGATTTGAACCTCAAAACAGATCATAGAATTTAACTGTGAATGATTTACTATCATAATGTTCTCGTCTTTGCCATGGCATCTTCAGCATAACAATATCCACCAGATGTCACAACATTAATTAGGCTTAATATGGCGCTCCAAATCATTTTACTGAAAATGTAATAGTTTAAAAACCCATAAATACAAAACACAAGTTACGAGGTGTTTAACAGTAAACACATCCTCAAGAGTCACTATGGAGAAGCAATTTGAATCATTTCCATCATCAAATCCAGCAGTACCCAAACACTGTGAGGAGTAAGTCTAACCACTTTAAGTTGTAATAACATTCAAACTCAGTAAATACCCTTCCCCCAAAACAACAAGAAGACTTAATGTGCTCTTCAGACTGTTAACCTTATGCTCAACAGAGAAAGCCTTCTTTTAGACTGAAGAGCCCTCCTCCATGTTGTGTTACATTATTAGTTTCCTTCTAGAAATTAGCGCCAGTCCCATTATTTATGTAAAACCTGTTATCGAGCAGATAGTTTACAGTATTTGTTGCAAATTGCCATTAAATCTCCATTGATGTGAAAGCTGCTGTCTGTGCGAGGATGACATGCACCTTGCGGTTGCAATATCCCATCAAACAGCAGCTGGTTTATTCTCACTTGTTTTGCAAGGGGTGCTTGATATACTGCTCAGGATCCACAACGACGACTGGGCTGTCAGTTTGTGATTGTTCTTCAGGTTCAGGTGCTTTCTGCGGAGAGAGAAACACAAACGGCATATACTTTATTTCCATACAAAAAATATATTAATTCAAAATATCTCATCCCTGTATGTCTACCGATCACCACCATGAAAGCGCAGAGTTTGTACAGGTTATATGCAAAGCTGAGAGATGCATTTATATTTTACCTGTGATAGGAGGCTGGATGTGGCCTTGCAGTTACAGTTATGTCACAATGCAGCTTAAATATTGTCTTCTTCTGATCTAGAAGTAATTATTACATTAAATTACAGTTTTGTGAACCTGTATACCTGGTCCAGCTGAATTAATCACTTGTCATTTGCAAGAACCTTCATTATTTGAGGTGTTAATTGAAAAAAAATGTCATTTTATACTATTTTAGTGTATAAACTATTCGTAAAACCATCCACCTGGTAGGCCATCACATCCACGTTACAGTTATAGGGTTTTCCTCAGAGACCGTAGCGCTATCACACACACACTTAAATATCTTAAGAAGCATTCATATACACACACATCCGGTACTTTCAGTTAGGCAAGTTAACATCGCTAGCATTAGTTTTAGCAGACGTGCTAAGCTAGCTACAAGCTAGATACACACGTGTCAAGATTATCAGACATTTAATGAATAATCTCGTGGTATGAGTATTTAAAGGTGCTGATGGTTGACTATAATCACCAAGATATTGACCCCAATATCGAAGAAGATTAAAACAAATCATCGATTGTAGTTTGAATGAACGACGTCCAGTCAGTCCCTCCCTGATAACAAAGTCAGGCACTGCCCTTTCACATCACATGCTAACAGCTAACCGCTAACGTGAACTGGGATCCACGAGAACTAACACATCTGTGAGCCGAAACACAACAATTCCCCCAATTTAATAGGTGGCGTTTTGAGGAATAAACTTTTAGAAGAAAGTCGTTGGATTCGGTGAAGGTGTGGCTAGTCCTTCCATGCACATTAGTCGGGTTTTTTTCATCTATCTCTTGTCTCTCTTACCGGCTCGGATGTCGCCATCTTGACTGTAGAAATGTTCTGCCCGTTCAGCGCTTCTGCGTCACACTCCAGCCACTCACTCAACTACGGAAGCCGCCGAAGTACAGTTTACCCGCGAAATGAAATGACACATCAAGCTCAATAAATATATTTTAAATCTAGATTAATGTAGAATGAATAAAGAATATAGAATTAAAACATGAAAGTAGGCCCGGAATCACAGGGCTGAACACAATATTTGCTGTCATGGGATTGTTCTTGGATCTTACAAATCCACCATCTGTACATAACTATATGAGAAGCGCAAGACGCGTACAAGGGGCCCATATTACTCTTTGTATATGAGCAGCCTTACTGCACCCATTAATGAAAGTGACTGGAACAAGGTGCGGGGGCTTGATCTGGTTTCCAATTTCACAATCAATGCATCAGTTCCTGGAAAAGGAACCTAGTGTTTTATTTGTGTAAGATTGTCATGGTGAATGAAAGCCAACAGCCCATTCTGGTGTAATGTCAAATCAAGGCTGGTATGACAGCACATGTGATTAAAATATACATGTGATCCCTCATTTTCCTGAATCCTCACTATGACTGTTTTGTTCCTCATCATTAACCTTTCAAGGATTTTACCATAAAGAGTAAAGTGATAACTCTCAGATTGTGTCCATGGTGTCATCACTCCAAGCGTAGCTAAATCTAATTTCAGTATTCAAGGCCTGCACTGCCCAGAACTGTGTGTGAAGACAACCACTGTGTCACTCCCTCCCTATTCATTATAGTTTACTTCATAATGTAAATATAATTATTATATATTATATAATTGTTATCATCATTATAATCATTATTTTGTGCCATCATTAACAGGAAACTATACTGTGCGTGTATTTTAGTGACAATCTCGACACTCAACTCACTTCTTTGTCAATGTAATTATAAAATCGGAAGTTGCAGTACTTTACTTGAGCTTTTCCATTTGCTGCTACTTAATATGTATACCTACAGTCTATCATGTACTATGTAATTTAGCAGCTATTATTGCACTTATACTCAACTACATATATTTGATAATTATACTTACCAATTACTTCACAGATTCTGATTACTAATACATAATATAATTAGCAAAGCAATTATGATATATTAAGTGAAGAATTTATTGATGGAAATTCACAAACTACTCAGCAGTAAATAAAGTAATCCAATATGTTTAGTGGTCCATTCAGCATTGGGACTTCAAGTATATTTTGATGCTTATACTTATGTACTTATGCACTAAAGTTTAGACTGCATGACTTTTACTTCTAATAGAGCATTTTTACACTGATATTACTACTTCTACTGATGTAAAAGATCTGTGTACTTCTTGCTCCGCTGCTTTCATTCAGTCACTACAGACTGCCTTTTTAATGCCACAGCAATGCCTTCATTCATGTTATCTAATGTAAAAAACACACCAATAAGTTACAAGCCGTGAGGTACACAGATGTTAAAAGTGGGGAAAAGACAGCGCTGGTATTGGAGCAACACTTGATACCCTGAGTTGAAGAATCAGAATCAGCATCAGTTGAGAAAAAGTTGGATGGATGCAACTAACAATTCTTGTCAAACTACAATTATGTAAAAAGACAGAAAAACGTTGATTGATTCAGTATGATAGAGGGACTTCAACTTGGAATTAATATATAATAAAAATATAGACAAAACACTTCTCCTTCATTTCTTTCCTCCACTTATTTCTCAATATGCTTGGGTCGTGTGGTAATGGTAATACTTATGATTCGGATTATCTTTAGATAACTTAACTCCGAAAGCCCTCTTGTGTTCATTGAAAAAATATAATTTTTGAATAAGGCTTTTTGAATAAGAAATAACTCCTAAAATAAGTTGTGTTTGTCTTGCTAAACACAGATCAGCTTGAACAAATCAGGACAAAGGAAATCATGTTCAGGTCCAAAATATAAATATGACTTTATTTCACAATCCCAAAAAGAGATTAGCCATCCAAATAAGTAATGCTAAATTTAGTCTCTCCTCAAGTCTAAACTGGATATACTTTGAGCAACATACACTAATGCAGTTTCAAAATAAGCAAGATCATCCATTGTCTAAACACCATTAACAGTACAGTAAAAACAATATGGTTCACATACATATTTACACATTTTCTACAAATAAAATTTTTTTTTTTTAATTTTTGAATGCTGGTGCTAGTTCTTAGTTCCTCGTTGATACAAACACTTTCATCGTGGACTGAGTACGTCCCCCAAAGTAAATCAAAAGACTTTTTTTTTTTTACAACTTTAACTTTGTCATGTCATGTGTTCAAAAATGTTCTTTATAAATCAAGTGACTTAAAAACGGTTTACATTCATTTCATTTTGTGAGCATGATGTGTGTTTTGATAATTGTTACACAGTTTGGTTATCCGTGGAAGACATTTTTTTAAAACTCTAGATGGACATCTGCACAATAATTCGCTTTTTTACTGGTACTTGAAAAACATCATGATCAATGGTGGGAGATACCAAAGCATCTCAGTCTGTTAGCCAGCAACTACCCACAGAAATTATAAAATGACCTTTGCACTGAAGCATATACCAGATCAGTGTGCATTGTATAAAAGCACCATGCCATCACTGTACAGTATATAACCCAGTCAAGTCAATGCATGTACCTTGACATCTTGTCCTATTAGCACCAAAAGGAAGTCAAAGTGTGTGAAAGACCAAAATGTTTCTCACAGGAAACATTATACCACCAGTGTTAGTGTGAATATCAGTGATGTCGGTTGTGCTGAAATTTCATTGATGAGTTCTTGAAATAAAGAGCCTCTCTTTCATGGGTAAACAAAAATAAAGTTCCTGATTCACCAGGAGTTCACACCAACCTCCTTAATTAGACCCTGTGAATAAAAAGCTATAATCTGTAAACAAAGTGTTCACAAGAGTCGAGCACCTGAAATCGTCTTCGGCAATTGTCTGAGTGGGATTTCACGTTTGAGTGGTTTTTCAACAAAAGCAGAGAGGAGGATATAGAAGAAATAACTATTCAGCACCGGCTGACAGTTTTGTATTCAAATCCAGAGTATGGACATAAAAACTGGTAATATGCCGTTGACATACGTGACACTTTGTGATTTCTGGGAAAGACGGAGGTCTTATTAGCACCATCAACATTTTTTCTGAAATCCTATAATCACACTTGTGCCCTATGAAATAATTTTTGAATTCCTTTTCCAGAAGGTGAACATAAGTTAAGTGCCAAAAATGATAAGCACTTCATTGTTGTAGCATTTCATGATTCCTCATTATGTTACATTTTGAATGCCATTAGATATGTATGCCATTTTCAATCAAATGGATGAAAATCAAATAAATGCAGAAATACTGTAAAAATAAAAACATGTTCATGCTAAACTGTCATATACTGTATATCTCTATCTGTACATACATAATCAGGCCTACGGATTGGGACCTTTTTCAAGTTAAGTTTAGGAAAATAAAAAAGTGCTTCTTACTGTAATATGCCATACATATCTGTGGATAAAAGACAAACCATCAGGACATAGAGAAATAAAAACAAAAAAACAAGTGTGTTTCTTTCATCGGCTGCCAACAGAAGTCGGAGGCAGTAGGAGAAGAAGCACAATGCTACATGTGACAATCTGTAGTAAATATATGCACAATATTAATCTTGCTTTCTACATTATGTGATGTAATGATGTCTAACAGAGAGGTTACAGTAAGAATGGCACCAACATAAAAGCCAATGAGATGCATCTTATGAAAAGCAAACTATTGGCTGAAATAAAGAGAACAGTCCTACTGTACAACATAAATTCTGAGCATCAACACATAATGCAGGTTATCATAGAAATCTTGCAGTAAACAGGCTTACACCAGGAATTAAATAGAAATCGTTATGATCAGAATAAATAATCACCTTTTTTGTTCTTAATCATGTGTATAAAACCAGATTAAAAACATTTTAAAAAATGCTTCAAAGCACCATCTTTTTACAATAAAAACACAGAAACTCACAGTTAAAAAGCCAACAAAACTTTGGTCTTCCTCATCACTTTGAAGGCAGAGATGAAGAAGGGAAAAGCCAACAAACAGAATCTAAAAAAGCACAATGAAAACGATGTAAAAATGAGAGTAGCAGTTTGAAGTTGATTGAGGTAAGGCAGAAGCACAGGGTGTAGGAGTTTTCTCTCTCCGTGTGTGTGTGTGTGTGTAAAACATGTTGACTAAGTCCATCGGTTGTAGGGGCCTGTCACCTGGGTAAGAGCATAAGGGGACACGGTGACGACACCATCCCTCTGGAGAGTCCACGCTTGACGTGTGGGGACATTCATGATCCTCCTCGTCTCCTCCGCCTCCTCCCCCGTTTCTCCCTGTAGCTCCCCACCTCCAGCTCCGTTGCCGTTGTTCCCCCCACATTTGCTCAGGCAGTCCTCCATCCTTAACCTCTCAGCCTCCTCCTCCCGTTCCCGTTCCCGCTTGGCCATTTTGGCATCCCACATAGCCATCCCGTGGCCTGGTTCATTTAGAGACTTGTGCTGGTAGAAGACCAGGGAGATGCGGGTGGGGTGGCTGCGGTTTGGCCTGAGGATAGGGGTGGTGGCGTGGAGCTCCCGCCGTGCACACTCTATCAGGATGGAACCGTGTGACGGGGCCACGGCGACTCCGCCTATGTTACGGTCAAGGAAGTTATGCTCGCTGTCTGACCACACCTCTTCCTGCTTAAGTTCCTCTGGTTCAAGCGGGGGAGTTTGTGGGGGAAGGGGGAGAGATGAGAGCGGAGGAAGGCCATGACCCCTGACCTCTGCCGCGACATCTTCTGCAGCCCTGTGGAGTCCGTTGAGCCTGCTGAAGAGGCCCTCAGAGGTAGGTTTGGGGGAGAAGGAGGAGCGAGGAGGAGCACTCCCACTGGGGGAGGGTCTGAGCAGAGGAGAGCAGTGCACCTCGTTGGGCTCAGTTTTAAAAGTATGGGGGTAGTCACTTAGGGCATTATGTGGAGGTCTACGAACACTCCGGTCACCAGATGTTGGAG